CTTACCGCCATCTGTGAGCCGCTTATCTAGATAATGTGGGACCCTCAACGTCTCACAACCCTATGGGCCTTCACGGCCTGTTACAGGGATAGCTTTACTTTTTACTTTACACATTCATTCTTGCATATTCTGATTACACATTACTGTTGAAGGTTTTACAAGTGTTGCAGGATCATCATTGGGGGCACAACATGTTTTAATGTTATCATATTCTTTGCTGCATAGTTGCGGTTCTTTTCAAGGACAAATGAATGTCAGTAGCTTACATTTACTGCTCAAATAGTCTTTTCACAATCTAAACTTCCGCCCGTCAGTTTGAATATCATCACACAGTATTAAAAACGTAGCGAATTATAGTTACGTGTTCACGTGCCGTCATTACGAGGAGAATTCAGGATAACATTCTAACATGAAAATAACTAACAAATGGTTCGGCAATACGACAAAGTTTAAATATCTGTATCAGTATTAACAGACTGAAATTCTGTGCGTTTTTGGAACCTGAAGGGTCATTATCCTGAGCCAGTTAAGTCCAGTCCACATCTTAACATCTCATTTCTCAAAGTTTATTTCAATAAATTGCAGTGTATATTTCGGATATCGGTACAAAATTCAACTGAAATCCGTTCAGTAATTTCGGAGACAAAAGTTAGAGCTCTTCGGTGAGCAAACATGGCACCCATATTTACCTGCCTTTATACACTCGTACAAAGAAAACATAATTATTAGATAATAAATTAAATTTCTTTGGACGAACCTCATTTTCATTGCGACATAATGGACAGGGGAATAGGTCTACTGCCGATCTGTACCTAAACAGAGTAACACAAACACAGAAACATTTACTTACTTACTCATGGAGCTGAGCCCTTCTGGAGAAGCCGCCAATTCTGCAGCTACTCAAGAATTTCCTAACATTTTATGGAACCCGCAGGTTTATTACCGTGTTCACAAGAGCCCTCCACTGGTCTCTATCCTGAGCCAGATCAATCCAATCCATACCATCCCATCCTATCTCTCTAAGATTCATTCTAATATTGTCCACCCACCTACGCCTTGGTCTTCCCTGTGGTCTCTTTCCTTCTGGCTTTCCCACCAATATCCTATACGCATTCCTCGTCTCCCCCATTCGTGCTACATGACCTGCCCACCTCATCCTCCTTGACTTGATCATTCTAATTATACTTGGAGAAGAGTACAAGTTCTGAAGCTCCTCATTATGCAGTTTTCTCCAACCTCCTGTCACTTCATTTCCCTTAGGTCCAAATATTGTCCTTAACACTCTGTTCTCAAACACCCTCAGTCTATGTTCCTCCCTTAATGTCAAGAGACCAAGTTTCACACCCGTTCAGAACCACGGGCAAAATTATAGTTTTGTATATTCTATTCTAATTCAAACACAGAAACATACAGACATATACTATATTTCATCATCAAGTAGCATTTTAATCCAGTGGTCAAAAACTGTACAAGCAACCGCTCTAATCGGCTGAATACATTGTTCAATACATTAATGTGAAAAACTGTGTCTTTATTTTTTTATTGCTAGTGGGGTGGGACTAAGTCCCTTGTGCTGTGACCACTTCTGGCCTATTGTACCAGCCCCAGATGATAGGTGAGGGTGATTGTGGAGCAATTGGTGGAATGAAGATTGGCAGGGGAAACCGAAGTATTCGGAGAAAACCTGCCCCAGCGCCACTTTGTCCACCACAAATCCCACTTGACCAGACCCGGGATCGAACTCGGGTCGCCGCTGTGGGAAGCCAGCGATTAACCGCTTGAACTATGGCGCTGCCCACTGTACAAAACTAAATACGACGTTTAAAAAGCATTCTTCCTATGTCCTCAGTTTGCGTTTGCAGGAATCTTGATGAAGCTTTAATGTTGTCAGGTGATAAATGCTCTGGGGCCGGCAAGCGGATGAGACATAACGACTCTTCGGTTGTTTCAACGTTAAAACAACGGGTTTGGAGCAAAAGCAGCCTATAAAGATCTATGGTTGTCACGTAACACGTAGGCTAAATGCATAACATAGGCCTACTGCATTATCCAGAACAGTGGTATACAGAAATGTCTGCGGTATTATCGACATGTAGGGCTTATTTCTGAGGGAAATAACGAAGACATTTACACAATGAAGACCATGTGACGTGACTGGAGAATTTCCGATATTGAGGTCGATACCCGAGGCAAGGTTCTTGCATTAAGGAGGCATTTATCAGAACAGAAACCCTCTACAAGACTCATTAATTGTTCTCATGTCCCTCAGATGTGTAAAATATTTGTCCCGTTAGAACGAAAGTAGAAGTACAATGATCGATTCTTGAATTTTGTTACGCGCAGGGAAATGCGACACTTTGTGTTGTCTGTATTTATCTCAATCTAAGGATTTTTGATAACTGAACAGTCATCAATAACAAACCTGTTTCTAACCAATAAACAGATTTGAAACTTTAAAATTTGTACTTTTATATTTGGGATGTCACTTATTAAAGGCTTAAATTAATGATTTTATTTAAATATGCTGAAATTAATATAATGAAACATTACAAACAAATCTCATTTACGCTTTTTCACCAGATCTTGTATACCTTTCTATAACCAAATGTTTCCTATCCTCAACGTCGGATTTTGAATTTGGTTCTTTACTGAGCTTCAGAATATAAAATGAATCACTGTGACACCTCCTTAATTTAATAAAATGAAATGTTACATACCAACATTATAATAGCATGCCTAGGTGTAAATACATTTAGGAATATGTAACGAAATTGAGAATCAAATGTCATTTTAACAGTCTTAACTTGTAACACAACTGAGATGACAACAATTTAATACGTACTATGGAAGCATCTGTTCTGTAAAATCTTGAGACGCATGTCACTCTCTTTTCCTTCCGGAGCACAGTTCCGTGATGTGAAACTTTCTGTCGTACTGAAGTGGAACTGGGTGCAACAGGATGGCATGCTTCGTACCTCATTCATTCATTATTGGAGGGGGTGGGTTTCCCCATGCACTGCGACCAGTTGTTGATCTATTGTACGTCCCCCTTTAATATTCTACCAGTCGCCATACCCTTCCTGTACTGGTGCTTGCTATCAGCCCCGCTCAGCCAGCGAGTTCGGCACCTCTACTGGCAATGGTACCCGATACTTCCCCCATCTATCGGAGGCATTAGAAACTACTTGGGCGGGAAAATTTTTACCTAATTTTGCTCAGAGGTCTCCTAGAGACATGAGGATCTTTTACGTGCCGTAAATCTACGACACGGGACCCACGGCTTAAAGTCCCTCCCGGAGGACTTGTTCCCTGAATTTTTCCGCCCTAAAAACTTCCACGACCTCCGCCGGGTTTGAACCGGCGTACCTTGAGTCATGAGGTGGGAACGTTACCCCTAGACTACGGAGGCTGCTTACGGAGGCTGCTATGCTTCGTACTTAGTATATACAGCCTGGCCGGTCACGGTAGCCGAGCGGTCTAAGTTATGTACTGTCTTCGCTCGCTCTCTCGGAAGTCGGGATCGTAGGTTCGAATCCCACACAAGGCATGGATGTTTGGTGTGTGTATGTGTTTATTCTCTGTTTGTGTTGTCTTGTGTTTAAGTAGAGGCCTTGTGACGTGCTGATCACCTGTCCAGGGAGTCCTACCGTCTCTAAATTTATCATGAAACTGCGAAAATCAACCCTATTCTCCAAAGTGAGGGCAAGAGGAGATGAAAAAATATACAACCTGAAAATCAATGGCTACTGCATATTTTGTATTTAGACAATCATACGGACCTATTGGATTAGAATTTATAATTAGTTAAATAGTTAAGCAGAGGTGCAACTATACCTTTTATCTTTTACTCCGTAAATTTTACCGATAAATAAGAACAAGTAAATTGCATTTCAGTAGCAATAAATATAAAACGTCGAAATAAAATACCCCAATTCAAATTGTGTTTTATGATCTGCTGAATGCTATTGTATTTACCTCGTTGGATGTCATGAAATCTGTGACCATTCCAAACGGGCTTGAACTCCTGAGAAAAAAAAAATTACCATCGCGTGAATTCCTACCTGCTTTGAAAATTCTGCCCAATTTTCTGCAGCAGCACTATACACTCCACACTCACAGCGCTTAAATCTGAAATATTCGAATCCCTAGCACAGACTCCTCCACGTATAATGGACTGAATGATAGCGTTCACTCAGCTATATCTACTAGCCCGTTCTATCAATGTGTTTCATGTTGCAAGTCCGCTGGGTTACTCGTACAGCCCACGTCTACTACAGTTGTCCTGTTCATTACGAATGCCTGGGGGTAAACGTACGTCATGAATATCCTAAGTACGAAAATTTCCATAGCCTGCAACCCTTTCAACAATTCAACAAAAATCAAACAGACGTAGCTAAATGAAAGAGCTCTTAGCATCCAGGATGCGCCCCATTCAAATCTCAGCTATAGCCATCAGTCAATACTGGGGATTTCCAGGGTTTCTCTGACTAAAATAAATTTCTAACACACAAATACTTTGTAAGATTTGAAGTTTTCACGGCGGTGACTATGAAGAATGACGTCGTCTGGGATGTGGCGCCGTGTAGATCTTGTGTGAACGGACGTAACGGAGCAGCCACCTGCTCACGCTGGTTCTTCGTTCGTGGATTTCTCTACCCTGAAAATGGAGGCGATATGTTCCCCCGAAACGTCGGTTCACACAAGATCTGCATGGGGCCATATTGCAGAAGATTAAATTATAGAGAAATATTTGTCATTGTTTGCTTTAAAACATAGGTACTATCGCTTTCACGACAACCAAACGGAAGTTAAACGAACAAAATTAATGGAAAGAGATCAAGGAAAATTAAGTTTACAGAGTGGAATAAGGTAGACATAAATATTACAGGTACTAAGTGATCGATTTCGTCCAGCACGCAGGATAATCACTACACTGACTGAGCTATACCGGCCTTTGTCTTCAATTTTATAGTTATAAACAAATATTTTGTCTCTTTCAGGTAATCAGCTTGCGACAGGTGGACGCTCAAATATCCCAAACCCAATTATACGAGTACAATATATACAAGAATATTAAATTAGCATTGGTCTGCTTTCAAAGCAAATCAGATGGCATTTCTGTGGGCAGGTATTATAGGATCAGGAAAAGCGATGTCTCATTCAGAAAATTACATCCAAGAACCGAGAAATCTACAAGATGGATTATTGCAAATAGGGGCCCAAGCTTGGCATATTCTAGTCCATTCGAATAACAACAACATTACCACATACGGGGAAGATGAAGCGAAAGGCAGTGACTGTATTGGAAGTCTGGTTGAAGTCACTGCAACCAGCGACAGGAAGTCGAGAGAGGATCAGCAGGTGGTAATGCTCATACCCCGGACTCCTTCCAGACTCACACCACCAAAAAGGAGTAAAACCTTAAATTTAAAAGTGAGTATATTATTATAATTATTATTATTACTATTACTACTAGACCCCCTCTCTGGTATACTGGTCAGAATTCCTGGCTACAGATCCAGAGGTCCGGGTTCAATTCCCGACGCTACCAGATTTTCTGAGAAATAGTGGCTCTGGAACGGGGTCCACTCAGCCTCGTGAGGATAAATGAGGAGCTATTTGAATGGAAAGTAGCGGCTCCGGTCTAGAAAACAGAAACCAACCGCTGTGGGGATTCGTTGCGCTGACCACACGACACCCTCTATCCACTAAAGTTGGCACTAACATCGCCGACAAACGGCGGTCGCTCGGTCGATATAGTTCGCTTGCGGACTAAAGCTACGGAGTTTGTTTTTTTTATTAATATTATTGGTCTTCAAGTTTCTGCTTAGTATAGCAGATGTTTGTTTCAACTTCTATCGTTGTTTGTAGGGTCGTTGATGTATTTGGAAACACAATTGTTTCTCTTAATTATATTTTACAATTTGTACTTCTTTATTATTAATAACTGAAATATTAATTGCACTCAATATTAATTTATGTAATAAACGTTTGTTTTCATTGCTTCATAGTTAGCATGAATGCACCAAATGAATGGTAACTGTCTAAACGATACGCGTTTCTTTGTTTTGTCTGTGTGTATGAGTTTGTTTTTCTTTCATTCATCTTCCTTTGATTGTGCTTATTTATAATTGGTTTTTGGGCTGTTGAGTAGACACGTAAGCAAATATATCATTTTATATATCATATTATCATTTTTATTATCATTTTTACGAGCATTGTAAAGAACTGAACTGAATTATTATTGAAGATAAACACATCTGTGCCTAAGAAATCAGTCATTAAGACAGGTAGGAAATGTGGAACTAATTCTAACGCCTATTGGCCTGGCCATTAGAAAGAGACGATTGTAAGCATCACGCTAGGGCCGAGTTAGGAGAATGTGAATGAATGTATAAGGGGTGGGCCTTCTCGGCCCTTGCACTGCGACCTACAGTGATCTATTGTGCTTCCACTTTCCGCTTTGGATGGGGAGCTGGATGTGGCCGTGAGGAGGAAATGATTTCTCTCCGGCCATACCATTCGGAACCTGTCTCACTAGTTGCTGTCATTTATATGTAACCGTATGTACCTCGGTGGAAATTATTTGATTGGGCTATGACCTGTTTATGCATTTTTTTTACCCTGGGAGCCGCTCCTCTGGCGAGATGCTATCCCAGGACTGTGGGGTCGTAAACCAACTTTTTCATCCTTAGGCTGATGGTGTCACTATTGTCTTTGGCGTGGCCAATTCGCTCCTGATTATAAATCCATGGGTTGACATAATGCGGGACCGGCATTGAGGGGTCTCGATTTTCTGCTAGTGAGCCGTGGTGACCTAAAAGAGTTTATGATAGACAGCTATCTCTCATTATCTTTGTGTTACTTTAATGTCACTATGGGACTTGTAAGAAAGAGACAGTCGGTGATAGGGGGCGGAGGTGTACTGTAGTTGAGAGGAGACGCAGAAGAGAGAACTAGGGGACATCGGCGAGCTGGGAGCGAATTGTTGTGGCCAGTGCCAAAAGTTAAGAGAGACGGAGAGGCTAGCCTCTCTGAAGACCCCGTAATTCATGAAACCCGAAGTGTGTTCCACTCCCATAACCGAAGCACCCGTATCACTGAGACAAAGAACCAATCTCGAACGACAGTCGTGGCAACTGTACGTCGGCGAGCGGCTACAAATATAAGCTTATACTAGTATACAGCTACACTACGTTTTGTGAATCTCTTTGAATCGACCGTTTGCCTCTGTATATTTTCGTATCTTCCTACACCTCAACGTCATATATTATGACATACACTGAACGTTCGATAAATAAATTACAGTAAACATTTGCCCAAACCTGAAACAATTTTGTCATATTTTCCTTCAAGAATTTAATTATTCGCTCTGCATGTTTACGTTTCGACAGAATTTTTATTTTCCTTCTGTAGAAAGTTTACTAGACTTCTTTTGAATTTTAATACTAAACACAAGAAGGGAGATATGAGGTTCTCAGTGCAGTGAATATTAATATTATGGTTGTCCGGAAAGTGGCGCCTTGCAGTCTAATAAACTGGAGTATACATTTCTGAACCAACTACATCATTCTTATAAGTAAGTAAGTAAAGCTATAGGCCGCGCCATAGCTCAAGCGGTTAGTCGCTGGCTTCCCACCGCGGAGGCCCGGGTTCGATCCCGGGTCTGGTCAAGTGGGATTTGTGGTGGAACAAGTGGCGCTAGAGCAGGATTTCTCCGAGTACTTCGGTTTCCCCTGCCAATTTTCATTCCACAAATTGCTCACCCTCACCTATCATCTGGGGCTGGTACAATAGGCCAGAGATGGCAGCAGTACAGGGGACGTAGTCCCACCCAACTAGCAATAAAAAAACAGTAAAGGTATAGCTGTACCAGGCCGTGAAGGCCCATAGTGTTGTGAGACGTTGAGGGTCCCATATTTTCTAGACAATTGACTCAAAGATGGCGGTAAGGATGTCAGCCTTACGCACCGACCGCGCTTTACTCCCCAGGATAATTATTTAATTAATTTCTGGTACTCATTTGTGTTAGAGGCTGTAGAAGAGTAAATAAGGTAGTTATGAAAGTACGGAAAGGCGGGAGACTATGAGTATATAATTTCGCATGACCAATTTACGTGGAGATCCGGCACCCACAAAATAACATATGAAGGAACGCAAAACCGACTTCTATATACGGAATTCTGTGCTCTGTTTTTATTCCCGAGTACACATACACTTTAAAATGGCAGCCGCATGCTGGGTGCCAAATTTAAGATCGTCACTTTTACCCTTTTCTCAAGTCAACCACACCCCCTCCTTCCCCACCACTAAAATACATCAACTCTCTGTAGGCATTCCAGACCAGGTAGTCAGGTAGTGATCAAATTCCGGCAGAACTTATTCAAGCAGGAGGTGAAATATTATATTCTAAGATCCACAATCTAATTACTTCTATTTGTCATAAAGAAAAATTGCCTGATTAGTGGAAGGAGTCTATTATTGTACCAGTACACAAGAAGGGTGATAAAACTGCCTGTAGTAATTATCGAGGATATCACTGCTATCAACTTCATACAAAATTTTATCCAATATTCTTCTCTCAAGGTTAAGTCCATATATAGATGAAATTATTGGGGACCATCAGTATGGGTTTCGACGTAACAGATCAACTACAGATCAGATCTTTTGCATTCGTCAGATATTGGAAAAAGAATGGGAGTACGATGAGACAGTACATCAGCTATTCATAGACTTCAAGAAAGCCTATGATTCAGTTAAGAGGGAAGTATTGTACAATGTTCTGATAGAGTTTGGGATACCAGTGAAACCAGTTAGGTTGATTAAAATGTGTTTAAACGAAACGCATAGTAAAGTCCGTGTAGGTAAACATTTGTCCGATAAATTTCCTATCCAGAATGGTTTAAAACAAGGAGATGCTTTATCGCCACTCCTTTTCAATTTTGCCTTAGAATATGCAATTTGGAAGGTTTCGGGGAAACCAGGTGGGACTGAAATTAAACAGGACACATCAGCTGTTGGCCTATGCCGATGATGTGAATCTACTGGGTGATAATGTGGATACCATAAAGAAAAACACACAAACTTTAATTGACGCAAGTAAAGAGGTTGGTCTAGAAGTAAACACAGAGAAAACTAAGTATATGTTACTGTCTCGTCACCAAAATGCAGGGAAAAAT